TTGGTAAAAGAAAGGTAATTTCAGAATAAAGAAGATATTTAAATACAATATGACAAAATAATTCACAGCAGAAGTTTTAAAAATTGCTTACAACAGCTTATGAGTAAGTGCAAAAACATATTTAAAATAATTTTGTTGAGAAGCTATAACATTAAAAACTGTTCATTCTAATTATATGGATTTCTTTTAAACTGATTAAACTTGAAACTTACTCATCCAAAATTTGGCAGTTATGATTTGATTGCAAAGAATTGCAATCAATATTTTATACTTTGATAATGGATCATTCCACAAAACAAGCAGATTTGAATTCTTATTTATCTTTGTGGAATGACAATCTTGTGGAAAGATTCTTCTTGTCTAAAACTATGCAAAATTACTTTGAGAAATTTTCAACATTAAGTATCTTCTATAGTTTTTAGACAGAGATGAGTATAAAGAAAAATCAACTCCACTTATGTTTAATGATATGACAAGAATATACCATATTTTCTTCAGAAAGTCAAAAGTCAAATTGGAAGTGGTGCAATGGGCTAGATTATATGTCAATTTAATAATAGGTACTAACATCTGATTAATAAGTTTAATTTAATAATCAGGTGTTAGTATCCATTAATCATTAAAGTGAAACTGTTATTTGAGAAGCCTATGGTTTTTTCTATACTTAAACAACAGTACAACTTCTGTGTATATGTTGCCTACTTGGGCCTTGTTTATTAGTAGGACCTATACTGATAAAGTTTCTGATTAGTAAAGAGAGGACATCTTAGTCAAAAGTCAAAACAAAATATCTTTATTTTCACCTAAAAATAAAGATATTTTATTTTCTTCTAACTTTTCAGAACTTCAGAAACTTCACCAGTATAATAAGTCCTATTAATAAACAAGGTCCAAGTAGATAATATATATACAGAAAGTAAAACACTAAGAACAAACAGATAAAAAGAATTAACAGTACAACTTGTTCAATTTTAAAAATGAATAAAATGAAAACCTTGTCTGTTTTAGAAAATTTATCACAAAAAGTATTTCAATAATCCACAATCATCATCATATTTTAAAAATTACTTCAAACTTTCTCAATATCTTATATCTTCAATAATAATAATGATAATAATAATAATAAACTTACCTTATCACCATCACTTTTTCTTTCCCTAGGTTCTCTCTCTCTTCCTCTTAAAACTTTAGTATCTGCTGTTTGAACCATCAGCTGTGTTGCCAGGAAATCCTAAAAAGAAATTATATAAATAAGTAAAATATAAAACTATATTAAAATAAATAACAGACATTCAGTTAAACTTCACAAACCTGAATATGTTCCATCACTTCTTTTTGCATCTCTACAGCCATGTGAAACACATCATGATCAGAACTGTTATACATAACTGCATTCTGAAACATAAGCATCATATCTCTTTGAAATTCCATAGTTGTTTTAATTACACCATTTTCAATGTTTTTCTTAATAGCAGAGAGATCCATTGGTCTATAAAAACATGAGCATTTAATTTTGTTTAATAATTAATATTTATTTTATTCTGTACTGATAAATTCACATATACCTGTAAACTATGCTGTGATAACCTGGTGCTACATCATCAGTAACTGGATGTAGGAAAGTATTTGCATATCTATAATGAAAAGAGATTCATTCAAATTTATGCTTTAAAACTATTAAATTTAGTATTTAATATGAAATACTGATACTAACTTGTGATTAGCTGCTGCATTCCAAACAAGCATAATAGCTTTTTTCCATGTTCTATAATCTTTAATGTTTTCTTGATCATCACTGAAACAAAAATTTGTATTAATAAACTACAGAATTTAAGGTACAATATATTGACTTTCTGATTTTAAAACATTACTTATATTCCTTAATATCTAATTTATAAAAATTCATAGATTTAGTTTATATTAAAACATAAAAATTTAACAATACAGCTATACCTTGCCTTACGTTGGTAATTGGTTCCAGGAAAGGTGATCTGATGTAAGTCGAAAAACGACGTAAGTCGAATCTACTTATCACTAGGCTAAACCATAAATTACCATTCCCGGTTCTGTATTATATTTATTAATGCATTTTTAATAATTTATGGTTAATAAGGATCTATTTTAAGCTTACAAACAAATAAATTTTAGTTTTTAATATAGTACAGAAAAAAGTAATCTAAATTTACGAATACATGTACTGTAAATACAGTACATACTTGTAAATGTATATATTTTAATATGATTTTATGTGCTTTAAACGCCTTTCTAGTGATATTATGACTTCAATATTTGTGGCGGACAGACATAAAGTCGAATAAAATGACTTAAACTTGATTTTTATTTTTCTATATACTTTTTTGACAAACGACGTATAATCAGGAACGACGTAAGTCGAGGTATACCTGTACAAAATTTTCAAGATATATGTTAAACAACTTAAGTTGAATTTTCTATTTCAAGATTTCAGAGTTTACAAATGAAGAAAGATTTGTTGTATTATTGACAATTTTTGTGTTTTATATATGATATCATGCACATACATGATTAATATGGATTGACTACACTCAATTTTTGTCCATTATAGTTGGGCCAGATTTACAATAGAATCATATAACATAAGTGAGGAATGGAGAATAATTCCCCAATATGGAATGTTTAAAACGTTTCATGATAAATTATAAAAGTTTGAACAGGATTCAAATAGCAATAAGATGATTATTTATTACAAAAGCTATCTGGTTGAGAATATTCATTTTACAGTTTGTGTCTTTAAGTTCAATCTATATTTTAGTCATATTAGTTAATTACCTATTCTATAAATAAGTGGATTAATTAAGAGAAAAAAATGTTCAAGTGTTTACAAAAGATTTGTAATTATTTTAATCTCTTACAGTATATATGTATACATTTTAAACATATAGGTACATACACACAGTTGTATATACATATTTTTATCACACATACTGTCTGTGACATATAAGTAGATCTATTGTGATTTTAAACTTTTATTAGAGAGATCTATATGCACAACATTATCTTAAGGTATATTTTCCATTTATATGTTTTCAGAGAAATGCTTATTTAAATTGATGTCAAAATTTCAGCTAGGCTTAAAAATCAATGAACAAGAATACTTTTTCTGAAAATCCAGATTAACTCTTAACATTTTTAACATAAAGAAAATAAGGATTGTTATCACCTAATATCAGAGAAAAAGACTTATGCGGATAACAGTTTAATAATTTAGTAGAGATCATATTCAACAGATGTACTAATCTGTACATTTTTAAAATGATATTCTTAATGTCAAGCAACATATTATTTAGGATATGCTGGAATCTTATGTTTATCTTTCTAATGATGGTGATGCTTCTAAGTTTTATTTTTATATGCCATTATTAATGCAGATATATATAGAACATACAATGATTATATGAGTATCTTAAGAATAAAATTTTCAGCTAATAGAATAATTAGCTGGCTTCCCTATTTTAAATTCAAGAGAGATTTATATGATATTGTAATATATACAGCAATAATCATCATCATCTAGAAGTTAAATTATGCATTTCACAAAAAGTAGACAGTACTAGAAACTGTTATTAATTTAATCAACTAACCTATTCTCACTAGGAATTATTACTGTATTGCCCATTTTATCCATAAAAAGCAATCAATGTCTTATTTTTTATACTACAGAGATATAAATGATATTTATCTAAGTTCCATCAAAATTGTTTGGGCATTTTTAATTAAAGCAAACAATACTGTTTATTTCTATATCTTTTACTGTATTGTATCGTACTATAAATAATTGTCACATGAAATTTCATTAAATTCATGGATACATTTTTAAAAAAGTATTTTAAGTTTCTCTCTTTACTTTTTGTAAGCAATACAGTATTAGAGAATTTACAAAGATAACTTAATATCATTAATCAAAATGATAATATATATTAAAACTATACAATACCTTTGAGATGTAGATGCTGGACTGTTGGGAATAGATTCACTAATTGATAATAGAGGTTTACGTTTAGTTTCTAATAATGTTTGCTCTGTAGAAGCATCTGATTGTTGATTAGTAGAGTCTGATTTACAACTAGAATGTTGTGTTTCATTAGCTTTTTCCTGATGATCATTTACAACTTGCTTAGCTGTTAATTCTGAATGAGGCAAACTTGAATTGGTTTTTTCTTTATCACTTTTTTTATCTCCAAAAGAATCTTCTAAATCTTCATGAACATGAATGTGTCTATTTGTTCTCCCCCCTCTTCCTTTCCGGCCTAAAAACACCTTATTATTATATAAAATACAAAAATTTAATTTTAATATCAAGAAAATAAAGCATACCTCTCTTGCCGGAATGTTTGCGGATAATTTTTAATTCTTCTATTACTTTATCTGATTCTACTATTACTACTGCTTCTTTTGCTGGTTCTTCAATAGGTTTATTCTTTTTTTCATCTTCAGTTAGTGTTTTTTCAGTTTCTACACTTTGTTGTTTAGTATTAACATCTTTGTTTTCATCTTTTTTGGATTCAGCTGTTTCTTCTTCTACAGGCAACTGTTTCTTATCTTGGATTACAGCTTCATCTGCCACCTACAAAATAAAGTTATAGAAATTCTGGCTTTCTCAAAATGTTAAAATAAAATTTACATTTTATTAACTAATTCAGTCTTTTTACAATTACATGTAAATTTAATAAAGTTTTTAAAATTTTTTTAGTATTTGATTCACATTACATTTTTTAATAAATTCTACAGCAATATGGCACATTCTATTTCTATGGTACTCTTGTATTTCTACATGAAGAATTCTTTAAATCAATATTGTAAAATACAGGCCTAAAGACCAATTTTCATCCATCAGAATTTCCTCAACAGACCAAATAAATGAAATTACAGGAAGAGAAATCAGAATTGTATGGCACTTGGTTATCATAGGATATCAATAGGCATGGCAATATGTATAATTATCTATTTGGCAATATAGTTTTATCATGAATAATCATCCTGTTCTTTATTTTTCCAGAACATTTTATCATCAAAATTGATTTTAATTATTAAACATATAGTTTTTAGATATTAATGCACATTATATTAATCTTTCTCTGTCTGCATCTTGAATTATTTTAGCAGCAGTGAACTGACTACTGTTTACTTTTAATTAACAAATAAATACACAATTAGTGTAAAAAATAATTTCCTTCTTTAATATCTAAATATTGAAAAATCATTTCAATTTTACATAAATTAAATGTAAATATTTTCAGAATTAACCTGGTTTTGGCTTTCTAAATATGAATACATTTATCTCTAACTAATCAAACACTTAATTCTAATTTTTACTTTTGTATGAAATTAGCCATACAAGTTCAACCATTCACCAGAATTTCAACTTTCTTTAAGATTCAAATAAACTTTACAGAATGAAGTAGAATGTTAGCTATTTTAAATTGCAGATTAAAATGTATAGTAAAACCTTGAACTAACATTCCTGAAATTAACAATCATTCTCTTTAATCCTAAAGAATAGCTTATGTAATTACAGACTTACTTTCCTTGAATCAATGTTTCATTCAATTTACCAATCACATTATTTGGTTCTGAAGCTATTTTTTTCCCTTGATCTAACATTTAACAGCTGATCCAATATAAAAATTTTACCTGCTAACAATATTAGGATTAAAATAGCTCTGCAGTCTATACTTAAAATATATTCCTACCTCTCTTTTCTATGATCTACATATAACATCAAAGGGGGAATTCCCTTTCTCACAAAACTAAATGAGTGAGAAGAATTTGTTGATATTTTCTGTAAATTATTTAATTGTTCAGTAAAGTTTTGGCTTTCATCCTGTAAAGATGTGCTTGTTTTCTTGCTTGCCTTGATTGGATGCTTTCATATGCTTCTTCTATACTTTTAGAAGAATTTAAATTTTGTAAGTTTGTTTTCATTCAGAAATTTGCTCTTTGTAATTAAAATTTAATTTTCTTGGTAAATATGTCCTTTTTCTTGTTTATTAGTAATAAATCTTTTACAACAAGAAGTAACAATCAAATATTTTAAATATCCCAAGTCCTTTTAACAAAATATTTTTTCAAAGTTTAAAATGCTACATAAAACATTTCTACACCTTTTCAATATGATGTATTTAAAAAAATAGATAAATATGTAAAATAAAGAGGTTTCTTGATTTAACATTTACTGCATTTTAGGCAGTCTCCAAATACTCTTCAGATTGAGATTTTACTCTATTATCAATATATTTATGTTATGGCACAATCAGACTGCTACACTAAAAAAAATATTGAAAATTTTTATACCAATTTATCAGTTATACAATTATCCCATTTATCAGTGAATAATCTAAAGACCTATGATTAGAATGATATTAAAATGTACAGTACATACTATAGAAATAAAAGCACCTATATTCCTCACTTTTCTATTAAATAAAATTGTTTAATCGAAGAAATCTATTAAAAACAATTAGTTGTTTTTATTTTATACAAATAAAATGTTTATCTGAAAAACAAAATAAAATCTAATAGCAGATTTAAATTATTTTTTTGTTTTTTGATGTTTTTCTAATTTTTTAATTAGAAAAACATCAAAAAACAAAAAAAAATTTAATTTAAATCTATTTATAAACTACATCTATAAGCTGATTAGTAATCAGTTTTAATAAAACTATAACTTAAAAGGATTAAATAAAACAAAATAAGTAAATTCCTTCACAATTACCTTTTCGATTACTTTTTCAGTTGTAACTTTTGATACAACTTCTGGATCTGAATGATTTGATGATGATATATCTGTTTCTTTTTCTGTTGTAACTGTTGTGTTTTGTTCTTCATTTACAATATTTTCTTCCACCTTTTCATATGTAAAAGTATTGTTGCTTGGCTGTTCTTTCTGCTTGTCTTCATTTATATTTTCATCAAATACTTTTTCCAATAATGATTCTTCTTTCTCTGTAATTTATAATTTATAAATAATTATAAAAATATTAATTTTCAAAATAACAAATAAAAAAATTACCTAAATTTTCATTTCCAACTTCTTCATTTTTCACAACTATTTCATTTTCTTCAATACTTTCAGAATGGATAACTTCCTTTTTAATTTCTTGTAACTCTTCTACTTTATCAACAACTTCAGTGTTTTCTATTTCATTTTCTTCAATTTCTTCTTTATTTCTAGGAGGTGATGCTGGCTCAATTTTTATATCAACTTTATGCTTGCAAATGTCATCCTTTGTTTCTGTTATCTTTTCATCTTCTGTAGATGATATTAAACTGTCAGATTCAGTCTTTTCTCTGGATGATTCAACTACTTCTTCTGATGTTACTGAAACAACATTAGTTATAGCAGATGATGAAGTTGTAGTTACAGTTGTAATTGTCACAGTAGAAACAGTAGGAATTTCTCCAGTTGATGAAACCTCTTGTTCCGTTTGAATAATAGGTAAGGGAGGAAGCTTCCCAGGAACACCTGGAGGCAATTCTAATAATTTTGATAGTGTAGGTGCTAGAATAAAGAAAAAATATTTAAATAAATATAAGAAATAAGTTAGCAAATTTTACATAATAAATAANATATGTTTTATGGTTTTTATGGAAACTGTTGTACATTATATATTAAACATTTATTTATTAAGTAGTTATTAATCATAACTTAAACACTTATTGAAAATGTTTGTCTTTCAAGTGTCTAAAGCATTCTCAACTTACTAATCATTATAAAATCTAAACATTTGACATACCTGATCTCCTGTATACTGCATAAAATTTCAATAATACTTAGAAAATTTTTATTAATAAAGATATTACAAAAGTTTTTTATGACTATGAAATGGAATGTTTCTGTACAAAAGACTTTTTACGAATAACTTAATTATTCTCGTGTTCTTCGTTTCTTTGCTTTTGGTTCGCTGTCGGTCATGTACGGATACTTCCTTTTGTCATCCTAGAAAAATTTTAATGTTTTAGACATTTGTTCATTATTACTACTGATAATGAATTTAAAATATTTTAAACATCCCATATACCCTTAAATGCTTATTTAAGTTGTTTTTATAAACAAATATTACTGTTAAATTTTCTTTGCAGAGTATATTAAATCACTAAGAGAATGCTGGGAACATCATTTGTAAGTATAAAGGTCTACAGTGTATTCAGTCTTGAAACTTAATTCCAAACATATATGAACCCATAAGAACAAGAATTAATGTGTCCACAAGCTAAATGAGTCTAAAATTGTTCATCCAGAATAGAATTTGTTGAAACTGTCCTGATTACTTTCACCATGGTAAATACTTAAAACAGAATGCATAATTCAGGAATCAGAACTTTTATTTACTGACTTAATAAAGTTTTCATTCCTGAATTAAGCCTTCTGTTTTAAGTATGTATCATTTGTTGTTTGCACATACAGTGGTACCTCAGGATACAAACGCCCCAGCATACGAAATTTTCAGAATACGACATGAAATTTGAACATATATGGGTAGGCTGAAAAGTAATGCACACATGCTTGTAGAACACAAACAAAAACAAATAGCAAGATCAGGCAAAAAGTACATTAAAGTACAATTCTTAAGCTTCAAAATCATATATTTATTTTTCAACATAGTCACCGTTAAGGATAACACATTTCTCCCAACGTGCAACAATTTTTTTCATTCCGTCACTGAAAAATTATTCCGACTTTTCTCGAATCCAGAACTTGACAGCTGCCTTCAACCTCATCGTTTGAGGTGTAATGATCACCTCTTGAGTAGAGGAAAAAATAAAAATTGCAAGGCGCAAGATTGGGGGAATAAGGAGGGTGTGGAATCGGTTCGAACTTCAGGTTTCGCAAAGCCTCTCCAGTTGTGCGCGAGATGTGTGGACGAGCGTTCTCTTGTTGCAAGTTTATTGGTGCCAGGCTGCCTCTAACATGTCAAACTCAACATCAGAGATGTTTTAGAGTCTGTATGTACTGAGAAGAATTAAACATTGCAATAAGGTGCAACGGTATTTGTCTGTGGCAGTGATCGGACTTCCGCTGTGTGTTTCATCAACAATTATGGCTTTTCCAGGCTCGCAACCACCAAATTTTATTATTCATCGATTTACAGTAGACCTACCAACAGCATCATTATCATAAACAGCCTTTAAACAATGATGAATCTCAGTAGGAGTCACTTTTTCAGCAGTTAAAAATTTGATAACAGCACGCTGTTTAAGTCACTTTGACATAGAACTAGAACACGTCTCCATATTTCCACTTCTCAAAATATACTGAATGAACGCAACAACCTCAAACTGCACATGCGCATAGAGGGGAAATGTTACTTCCATATGCCACCTGGCATGTTTCTGAAAATCATTTCGTCCACGCTCTACAAGCATGTGTGCATTACTTTTCAGCCTACCCTTGTATTTTTGCTCCACGATATGAACAAAAACTCACCATACAATGTTACATTAATTCGCAGCGCCATTTTTTATTCACTTCTGTTTATCGGTCTCAGTCTGTGTGCTTGCTTTGTCGTGGAAGGATCTCGTTTGATAAACAAAATCTTGAGGTATTATCAGAAAGTGACTGATTTTATTGAAAAGAAACATCCCAAAAAGGTTCACACTGACTGTATTGCTGCTCAGAGTAATGACATTTGCCTAAGTCATTTTAGAAACATTTTAAAAAGTAGGCAAAGCCAAACCTCTTTGGATAGATATTTTACCAAGAGACCTCTATCCAGTGAAAGTACTGGTGGAAGTGAAGGAAAGAAAGCAAAAAGCAGTGAATAAAAATTTTAAAAATATATATATAAAACAACACTAATTTTTTTATCTTTTCTAAGTTATTTTTAAGTTATTGTTACATTGTGTTATGTAAGTTAAGTTTTAGTATCATTTCCCTTCTCCCTCTCTTCCACCACCAGTTTACACCTCCACCGTCATCTATCCTCAAAGGTAAAGTGCAAATAAAACTACATTTTTTTTT